GAGGGCTGGTGGACGATATAGTGAACCCCAGGTAATCTCATTGAAGACATATTTGGTTAAACCTTGGAAAGGGATGGGTCGGGCTGACTACTGGGAGTACTACATCTACATGGGGTACCTCATCGATCTAGTTGACATGCAAGGCATAAAAAAATATACATGGAAACCAACTAGATCGGGACTCTATTGTACCGACTAGAAAACTATTGTATAAGCCAATCAGGATAAGATTCTATGTATCCTGACCCCAGAGCATATAAAGCGGGGTAGTGAATTAACCCATCATGGGCATCATGGCGCATAAGCAACCGTACCACATAGCATACGACGCACAAACAATACAAGCCATCATACGCTAGACGTAGGGCACCTTCTGGCTTTTGCATGAACCAGTAAAACTCTGTGTTTCATGTGCTGCCATCTTGATCAGCTATGATAACATACCCCACTCTGGTGATAAAAACACCTATATAGAGATAAATATTTTGGATTGCTGCTAAATGAATATACATTGTCTCTAAAGTTTTGCACGAAATAAGTTTTAGAAATATCTGATGGGAAAACCAATATGAAGAAAAGGTGGGAAGCATTCAGATTTGAAAACCATATCTGGAGACGGTGAAGCATGCCGCCTCTTGAAATGAGAAAAGGTTGGGAATATTCAATTTTAAAACCATTTTCCAAAGGCACTTGTTTAAGAGGCTTGTCTCTAAAAATGCATTTATGATGCAGTGCCGTCTCTAGAAATTGGATATTTCTAGAGGCCATTATTAGGTGGAGGTGGTTGGCCCAGCCAACTACGCAAATCAAATATACCTGTATTTGAAAATTGATTCTACAGCTGGAAATTGTTATTGCCTTTTTTGGATCTTATGGGGGTGGGGAGTACGTACATTTTTATTTTTATATCCTACATAAATAATAATTTTCCTTCTAAAAAACAGTCGTTGTGTCGTGGGCTCTTGCATCCATACCCCTATTTTATATCGATATTATGATTTTACCCCTGTTTTTTTTATTTTGTGAATTTGCCCCTGTTTATTTAAAACGAAGCACCAATTTGCCCCTATTCCATCATCCTCCCCTAATGGTGTTAACTTTTGTACCAAATGACAAATATGCCCTTGTGATTTTGCCCCTGGTTTTTAGGGCTATTTGTGATTTTACCCCTAACTTGGAATAAGACACATATACTATATTTTGGAAAAAATGGTTATTATATTTGGTCAATTCAGATTTAATATTGAAAAAATTATTCACAAATCACATGTTGGGTGTCTATAGTAGTCCTGTCCTGACTATGATACCAAAAAAGTTAGGAGCAAAATAACAAACGAAATCAGCAAGTCAAGTCCATTGTTGTATTCCGGCGAACACCTTGCCTGCAGCCTGTGCTACTTGCCAATGCCGTTCAGGCGAATACCGTGCTCTCATTGCCATGGCCGCTCCTATTCTTGCTGCTCGGTCACTGCTCGGTTGATGCATGCAGCAGCGTAGCAAGGTGGTGTGACGCAACTCCAATGACAATTGCTACTTTCCCTTGCGGCGCTCACGGTAGTTCATGCCCTGTAGGAAAAGAGCCTTCTCATCGGATCCCTCCGCCGCCTCCTCTTGCCGAAGATGGGAGGCTCCAGCTGGCTGTTCCAGCCCCGCACGAGACCGCGGCGCCCTCCTTGCACGAGGCCGCTCGACCGCCCGCCCACCACGCCCGGCTGCGCGCCCGCTGCCGATGCCGCGACGTCCACCCAGCTGTGCGCCTGCGCACCCGCCCAGCGCGGCCGCCGCACCCACCGCAGCGCCTGCCTTGCCGCGCCACGAGCCCGCCGGCCGTGCCTCCCCCGTTGATGTTGCGTGCCCTGCCCAATAGGCATGGGTGGACACGGTGCGGATGGGATAACTGTGATAAGGGCACTTCAGTCATTTCACATCTGATTTTATGTGTTTTATTTTTTTAAATCGTTTAATCAGCCTCTAAATAACGAACATCCAAACCAGGGGCAAACTGCTTCTTCGTTTCAAAATAACAGGAGTAAAATCACAAAGTTAAAAAATAAGGGTAAAATCACAATTGAAATTCAGACACGGCAAAAACACCGTTTCCCTTTTTTTAAATCGGTCTTGTGTACACAGGAAAGATAGAGCGGATTCTCACGAAGAATATATTAAAGATTTGCTTGGAATCCTTTTTTTTATAGTCATGGATATACAAGCATTAATAATCAAGCTAGAGATATGACCGCCAACTTTAGTCAGTCTTAATGACAATAGATAGGCACATATTGAATACTACCAACTTTTGGACCAAGTCCTTGTTTAGACCCAAGGTGTAAAAGGTTTGGGGTGTCACGTCGGATGTTACATGAGTGTCGTATGGGGTGTTTAGATACTAATAAAAAACAAATTACAGAATTCGTCAGTAAACTGCGAGACGAATTTATTAAACCTAATTAATCCGGCATTAGCAAATGTGTTACTGTAGCACCACATTGTCAAATCATGAACTAATTAGGCTTAAAAGATTCGTCTCGCAAAGTAGTCGTAATCTGTCCAATTAGTTATTTTTTAGTCTATATTTAATACTCCATGTATATGTTAAACATTCAATGTGATAGGGTATACAGTTTTGGAGAGAAACTAAACAAGGCCTAAGAATGTAAACAAGAATACAAGATATCTAAGTTGGGCAGAAATAAATGATTGCTATCATAGTTCAATCTGCTTGCAATTGAACAGTTATCCTGGTGGCTTGTTACATGCATTAGCAATGAACGAACACGATACACTGATGATAGCTGAAGTATCATGACTTGAATTTATTTCAAGAGATTATTACACCACAAATGTATAGGAAAATGCTAGTAAAATACATTAAACTAACTGTTATAGTTTAGGGCTACTGGATTAGTTATATAATAGAAATTCATCACAAAAAAGTTAGAAATAAAAGAAATAACTTGGTAAACGAATCATTTATTTGTGAACAATACAGACAATTTGTTACAAATAATAGCAAAGATATCCACATCCATGGAGCATCTCTTTAATATTTTTTATTAGGGAAAAGCAGAGGCTCCTACTACAGTTCATCACTTTGGAAAACATGGATTCATTACACTAAATGAGATATAAATTTTATTGAGCCCTAAAAATCATATCCTTGTTGAAATTTTTTGTCTACCGTACCCCTCTAGCACGCAACAAAGTAATTATATATTCCCTAATAAAATACATACGTAGTGAGGGACTGAAGAAAGATGAATAAGTTTATTTTTTTACTCGAATTCACATGTATATATTAAGAGTGAAAATACGGAATAATCATTATTATTGGTAGAAAGTTAATGCGCCTGACTGTCACAGGAAATGTCATGCAGGTCACGCGCCCTCTAGTCCGTTACAAAACATAAACTTTTATTTTTCCACAATATATATGCTCAGTTCCTCTTTCATATTACGCCATAAACTTTTCTTTTTATCATACTTTCCTCAGAAGAACTTTTCGTCATACTGAGCAGACGAAGTCATTCGCCATCGACATGCTCCCATCGCTCAGGTGATTCCTCTTCCTACTCTAGTTTCTTCTGCGATTTGGTCACAGTTTTTTAGTACTTTCCTCACAAATCACACCAGTGGACCGAGATTCCCCATATTTTTCCCCTTGTGTGTAGATACAATGAGGTGAAGTTGCGTCAACATACTTCTCTATTGCATGGATAGCTCAAATTGTTTCTCCAAATCTTCGTAGGAAATTACTGAAAACAGAAACAACAGTTTGCTTTGGTATAATCTTCTTATTTTCTTTTTTTTTCAGATCTTGGTGAAGGCAACATGTTGGAATAGGACTTCTTGGCTTCAGATCCGTCATATCTCGTGAAGGTTATTACGAAATAGTAAGTCCTGTTCATGTTCTTTAGTTTTCTTATCTTTATCATAGTCCAGAGATATGCCTTCCTCCTGACTTGACAGCAGTGTTTATTTTTTATTTTTATATTGATGATGTGGGTAATGGTTTCTTGAGCTCTCCTTTTCGTCCTTTTAACTTACTTTAAGTCGTTTGCCTTGAAAGTAGTAGATATATGCCTTCCTCCTGACTTCACAGTTTTCTTTTCGTCCTACTGCACTCTACTACTACTGCGGCTCCCAGTATTCTATATTCCCTCCTTACCTATAAAAAAAAGTTTCTATTCTTTCCCTCATCATTTCATTTGTCTCCTCCCGATATTCTACAAATATTTCCCCCATCATTCTTTCCCTTCCCCACTCTTCTCAATACAGTATATTTGTCCTACTAACCAGAAAAAAAAAATCGTTTACTATTTTCTTTTCGTAGAGTGTAGTAGTAGTATAGTGCAGTAGTAGTAGATATGCCTTCCTCCTGACTTCACAGTTTTTTTTTTCTGGTTTCTTGATGCACCATATGTTGAAGTCGTTTGCCTTTATCCTCTATTTCAACCTTTTCTAGTGCTATATCATTTATTGTATATCTTTTGATAACCATTAGGAAATCATAGAAAAGAAAAGGATGGTTGTATTGGCTACCTCTTGTACCTCTTTGTAGTAGCGGCCAAGTATTCTTGTGTAAATCATTTTTTTGCAACGCACGAATTGGTATACATAGAAGTGACCGTATTGTATTGTTCTGATGCGGCATATTGTAACTTTTTTTCAAACCAAATATATTACTTCAGTGTATATGTCTATATGTTATAGGAGAACTTCATATTGCCTCTTTAGATATACAATAACCATCTAAGTGAGTCTCTGTGCTTCCATTGTATTTCAGGAAAAATGGTGGATGCTTTCATTTGAGGCGTTTGTTGCATTGATTTCAATCTTCTTCCCTGCGGCGTACTAGTGTAAGGAGAAGATTTTCTTGGTGCTATTGATAAGGACACAGCCATTAATTAAAAGGTTGCAGAAGGTGAAAAGAATATCTGCACTCCTGTACACAACACTGCCTGAGGTCATATTTGCATCATAGCAACGGTCGTTCACCCAATATGGACAAAAGAATGGATTTAACTGAGAAGATGTCCATGAAAAATAATGCTGCAAATCAAGAATCCAACGGAGAAATGTTTGTAAGTAGGGTTGCAAGTTCTGGCTTGGTTCTCAAGTTCAAGGTGGATAAGTATGGGACACTTCCATCTAAACATACTATTTCATCGCAGGAGGTGATGATGTCTGGTGGAAAACAAAATGTCACGGAACTATTGGACAATTTTGAAGCTAACTGTTCTCCAAATGCAATTCCTTTGTTGGTGCACACATGCGATGAGTGCGGTAAGTGCTTTAAGGAGATTAGTTCACTGCATGGGCACAAGGGTGTTCACCGCCGAGAGGAGAAGAAGCGCATGCGCATGATGATGGCGGATCAACAACCCATCGCAGTGGAGGCCTCATATGTAGTGTCTTCACCAAAACCACGGCAGACAAAGAAGGATGAGATGAAGACTAGGTTTGCAGCACAAGCTCTAGAAATGTTGTCGATGGAATTCAAGCGGCACCGGCCGGATTTCTTATCAGCCAGCATGACCTGTCCAAATAAACATATCAGTGCAGATGAAGAAACAGGTGAGATGAGAGAAGTCGCTGAGATTTTGGTAACACTAGCACAAAGTTTTTGCAAGGACATTACTGTGCATGTGTCATCGCCAGCATCAATTGCTAAATGTTTTGTGTGCACAACATGCAAGAAGATGTTCTCTTCATACCATGCCCTAGGAGGCCACATGTCCATTCATAACAAGCCCACCAAGAACAGCTTGCTTGAGGATGGCGGCGCTGACAGCTCTGGTGGTGGCAGGGAGCGTTGCACATGGAAGCACGTGTGCGACAAGTGCAATAAGAAGTTCCCAACTGGGCAGATCCTCGGTGGACATAAGCGTAGGCACTGGTGGGAGGAACACTACTACAAGATGGCACTACTGGAAGATCGGAATGTGAAGCCACGATTGCGAATATTGCCTCATCATGAGTCAGAAAGGTCTGGGCTAGTGGTTGTGCCAACTGATGAGAAAACACAGCCTGCAGGGACAGAGTTGGTTGTGGCAGCTCACACGGTGCCACCGGCTTGTGATGACGTCCAGCAGCCACAGCAGGCTATGAGTCTGGGTAATGAGATTGAGCTGCCAGTGCCATCAGGTGTTTCTGATGAGGATGTCGCTTGAGACAGCAGCAGCTGATCTGCCAGCAGGACCTATCACCTATGCGTATGACCACTGGTCAGAAGTGTCTTTGATCTCAATAAGGGCACGCTGCCTCAAGTTAGGGGACTTCTTCGCCTCACTGGAATTTCTTTAATTTCTCAATAGAACTTCATATTATATGGTGCTTGCGTATGTTTGATGTGTATTCCCTGTGTTGTTTTACTTTGGTAATTCTCATATAGCTGACAGCATCGTAAGAATATTGGTGGATGTTAAACATGCATGATATGATTTTCCCTTGAAATTTGTATCGAATTTATTGGTGATAATATTATAATACAGTGTTGGTGTTACAATACCTATATATTTAGCTATAACAAACCTATATGCTCATCGTACTATGGATCTTTGTTAACTTCTTTTGTTTACAATATATCAGAATTTTATTATTTCTCTAGGTGAATGAACACCCCGGCCGAGCAATCATGCGGGATATAGAAATAAGCTATATGACATGCAGCCTAGTAGCTGGAGGGAGGAATGTGCATTCTAAGGATGCATTAAAAAAAACCTCCATACTGCAGTACTTGTAGTGATGAAGTCATGACTATATTGCTCCTTACATAATAGATGTATTAGGAACAAACATCGTTAATCTTGCTTACTGAAAGATGAAATATGCACCTGCCGTTCTAATTATTTCATTTTGAGAAATATTATTTAAAATTAGAAATGTTTTCGAGTTGTTCTTCCTATCTGCATTTTGAGTCATAAATCATCAATCAGGAGACTAAAAAGAGTTTATAGGCCTCATTGTTGGCGCTAGAGATCATTCTGTCACACTAGCATATGTCATAAGCAACTCACAAAAAATACATTTTGCTGCCTGCAAAAACGGAATATTCCAGTTTTAGAAACCGGGTACTATAATATTGTCATGATTCACCGGAGCACAAAAGAATACTAACTCGGGAGAGGGCCCTATCTGGACAAGCGACTTTAGGTTGCACTAGTCTTGTCAGGCCACATCAATGACGCCTTAGGTTATTGTTGAGATGTAGAAAGAAAGACAATTAGGTTTAGGAAAAGTATGGCAATGCAAAGGGAAGGCAAAAGTGATAAAATTAAATTATATTTGGTTTTCATCAATTGGATGTCCACAAATGACCTTGCATTGGCTCTAATCATATTTATACGATGGGGCGGAGGTCTTGCCTCCTGTAGAATAGGGACACATAAAAGAACTTGTTTAAACTGATTGGGAACAGTCCACAAATGCATTTTGAAGTATTAAGAGTAGCTCCTGTTTTTCAACCTGTGAAAACCTTCCAGTCCTGATACTTTAACATTCGGACTTCAAGTTGTATAAACGATATTCATGTTCCATTCGTCTTGACAAGGACTTTGTTTTGGTGGACTCTAATTTATCATTTGACTCAATCTTGTAGTCGGTTCAGTAGGTTATTTATATCTCCAATAAAATCAAACCGTAATGACCCGATCTTCTTGTTGGTTCAAGTAGCTTCTTTTTCAAAGTCAACTCAAAAAAAGCTTATCCATCAAAACTATAAACTGAATTTTATTTTCCTGTTACTTTGAATTTTATGTTCCTCATACTTTTTCAAGTTAACCTTGCAGTATTATTCCAGGACATCTTACCAGCTAATTTTCACATGCATATATGCTTTACAAGTGCACATAAACCAAGAATTTGAACTTATTATAGGTTCAGAACTAAAATCTAAGACGGTAGCTAAAAAACCATTCCTCGGATGTGAAGAACTGCATGACTCTTGATTCTAATAGCCTACATGCCTCAAGAATCTTTTCTTTGTCATCATCCAAGCACCGTAATAAATTGAAACCAATTTGTCCCCCCCCAAAAAAAAAACAGAACCTGTAAAAATGTTTTTAGTTGGTCTTTATCAAACACCATGACGTTCCTTGTGATCCAAACTTCCCAACAAAAAGTTGCTGCCCTAGACAATAATAGTTGAATATGTTGGTGATCACTTCATTTTGACCAACTACCAAATAGATCATTGGATTCAAGGTGATCCAATACCAAAGAAAACAAACATAACACACCATAGGAACCGGCCGGACAAAATGATAATAAAAAAAACCAAATGTTGGATAGTTCTAGGCTTACTGAAGAAACAACTAGTCTTACTACTATTCCAATTCTCTTAGCTTGGATGTGTTTTGTAAGAATCACCCTATTTTTTTAAGAACCAAATTATAGAAAAATCTTCATTTTCAGGGGTACAGTCATATTCCAGATCACCTGTGTAACCATTATTCCATTATTGACTAAGTGCTTATTATACATGGATCTAACAGCGAATAATCCATTTTCATTTGGATTTGAGATGAATATATTCCTATCCTTAACTGAATTAGAAATCCAACTCTGACAGACTAGGCTTTGACATTCTACTAACTTGTGCCCTCCTAAAAGACACATTTAGAGGCATGGAATTAAACACTTTCACCACAGTTGCTTGTTTCTTGTTGAATAGATTGAGATATTTGTATTTCAAGGCTTGGGTTAATTCCCAACCATTTATCCTCCCAAAATTGAATTTGGGTTCCATTGTTTAGTTTAAAGTTATTCAAATTTAGTAATTGTCCTTTGCTCCCCCCCCCCCCACACACACACACACACACACACACGCACACACCCCAACCACCCCCAATAAACCATTCCAGAGTCATGAAACCTTGCTTGGCTTAAAGTCTTGTTTTTCATATACTTGTTCCTGAGGAGCTCTTGCTATAATACCTTGAATTTTATAAAATCAATATTTGACCAGGTAGATGAAAGAGAGGAGGAAATTTTAAATTTTCAACCGTAAGTCGTATGGACGAGCAGAAACCGTGGTTGTGTAGACCTCATCGAAATGAATTCGTTTGACTACTAATATGTCCCCTTAAGATACCGGATGAGTACGTTCGTATCAAACTAAATAGTTTTCGATTGTTGGATTTCTGCTAGGTCTTCCTTTTTACGCACGTATCCAATCCTAGTCCGACTCCTTTTCAGCGCCACCGCCTCCTCCTACTCTTGTCCGTTTCCTTTTTCCTTTTTTTTTTCCTGATCTAGATCCTCGCCGCCCTATATGGTTCGGCCCACCTGCTGCTGTGTTTGTGTGCTGGGCCAGCAGTTAATGTTTAGAGGCATAGGTGTGTTGATCTGTTGCAGCACACAACTTGGAAGAGAGGCTACGCAAAGGGAAAAAAAAAGGAAAGAAGACAGATTGACAGTCTGTGTGCTTGCTTTGTCCGGCTATTGTAAAAGTCCTAAATACTCCCTCCATTCTAAATTATAAGTGTTTTTAACCTTTTTAGGTAAATAGTTTTTATTATGCATTTAGATATATGCTACGTCTATATACATAACAAAAGCTATAAATCTAAAAAATCCAAAATGACCTATAATTTAGAATGGATGGAGTACTCTTTTATATATTTACTAGATAGGCTTAGATTACTATAGAGTTTAGATACTAGGCAAATTTGTGGATTGGAGACGTTTCGAACCCTTATTAGCACAAGTCACGTGTGTGTTTGAACAGTGAATTGGTTCGGTCCTTTTTTTCTGCAAACACTAATTCACCAGAGAGCAAATCTTATCATGATAGTTCCCAATGATGCCTAAAGAATATGAACAGCTTTGGTAAGGCATACTGACGCTATAGGAAAATGTTGTTAATGGAATAAAAAAAGGTTTGGCTGATTGATTTTGGTATGAATTATTTATGCAGAGTTAATCAATGATTTTCCTGGAATAACAGGTAACGAATTTTGATGTGTTTTCCTGAAACAAAGTCGTAGCCCATGTTTTTATCTTTCCAAAAGAGCCTTTATTTTGTTCAAATCGGATTAATGCTTAGGATTTATGCCCGAAGTAGTGCTGCTGTCCAGCTAGGTATATTCTCTTTGTAGAAATCATTTCATCTATTTTTGACAAAATTATAGCCTGATTTGGTCCTAGACGACGTCTAAATAAAAGTTGTAGGAAATTTTCTGTAGATATTTGAGATGTATTTATTTTCTCCAATTGGTTAAGTGGATCTAGAGTTATGATCAAAACAGCAGGAACTTGGAAACCTAATCGAATTTTTTGAAAATACAAGAATATAGTTTGACTGGTAGGTTTATTTGAGTATTCATAAAATAGGTTTATGTGGACAAGTTTCTAAGGTAGTTTGCTACATAGGTTTGAGAAGTGTCAGTGCCTAGGGTGTGATGCTAGGTTTTCACCAAGGTTAAGGCAAGTGCATGACAAACCTATGTGTGGGATTGTTCCTATTGTTTGAGTTTTCCCGTGATTCAATTGTTTAGTGTGCTATGTTCCTGTTCCATGTGGTTAAAACTCCAAGTGTTCCTTACATTCAGTTCAGTCTCCGTGGATCCGGATGTGCAACTTGGTGTTTATATTCAAATTTAAGTTTTAAGATTTTCTTTACATTTAATTTGTGCCCATGGGAACGAATTTTCAAGCTAGGGTTAAAAAATCCCTCGTCTGTCCCACGCCAAAGCATATGTCTAAGGCCTAGCCCTGGTCGTGGTCGTTCTCACATGGACTATGGTGCCACTGTGTATGGGTGGGGCAGGGGTTCAGGGGTCTTCTCGACCTGACTGAGAAGGTCTTCTTCTTGATGCAATGCCCGGGGGCTGTCTTACACCCCGTAGGTTGAGTTTTTTATTCCTATTCTGGTGGATCGAAATGTGCAATTTGGTTCTTATGTTCAGGGTTCTTTGAGTAAGTGTTGGTCCTATTTGCTTGGTTTTACCAACCAGTAAATTCTAAGGATTCAAGTTTCTTCATTTATTACGAAAACTACTATTTCGTGAATCATGATGTTCAATTTCTTTGTTCATGGATCACCATTCGTGATATTTGATTTTTGAGTTCTAATTATGCTTGCTGATTATTTTTACTCACCTTATTTTTATTTGGTTTTTAGATACCAGATGATCACGGCATGCATTGGGACTAGTAGTCGCACCTTCAT